GGGCTGTTTTTTCACTTTCCCTCTTTTTCTCTGTATCTCCGTCTCACACTCTGGTAAGTGCACATGCTCTATAGCAAATTAAAAAGAGAGAAGAAAGAAATGCATTAACTGAATCCTCGGGCCCTCTCTCCGCTGTTTGGAGATTGAGGAGGAACCAGCGAAGGAGAAGACAGTTACGGTGCTGGGAAGAGAACCAGAAGAGGGCCGTATTCCAGAAGCCCAGGGAGGGAAGAGTTTCAGGGAGAAAAGCAATTAGCTGTGTCAAAAGCTGTAGTTAATGCCAGCAATAGAAAGAATAGAATTTGATTCTTAGGTTTGATCATGGGGATGTAATTTGTGATCCTGATAAGAGTAATTTCAGGGCCAGGAGGTGGTATGGTGGTTAAAGTGCTGAACTCCCATATGGCTAACCATGGTTTGAGTCCCAGACCTGGCAACTTGCTTTCTCGCTTTCCCTTTTTCTTTCTGTTGAGCCCAGGTGCTCTGTAGCAAATTAAAAAAATAATAATAATAATAATGATAAATAAAAAATTTTTTAAGAGATGTTTTCTGCTCTAGGGTGCATGTGCTCACTGGAGAGACAGAGAAAGACAGAAAGTGAGAAATCACCCCCCCAGGGAGATGGCCATGCCACAACCCCTTCTCCTCCATCCTCCTCTCAGGATTTTTTTGGCACACACATGCACCGGTGTGAGTTTCAAGCTGCCAAGTCCAGGACTCGAACTGCAATTGATCACAGGGGTCCAGCGACGTTACCAGTACACCATCTGCTGGTCCCAGATAAATAAAATTTTAAAAAGAGCAGTTTCAGCCACAACGAGTGAGGGCTCAGAGTGAATTCCAAAGTCGCGGGTGGGGAGTGGGAGAGTCCGGGAGCACAGGCTTGTGCTGTACTGTCACCATGAGGTCCACCTTTGAGAAGAAGGACGCTTCTAAGCAGACACCACTGACCATTTCGGTCAGTGAAGGAGCTCTGTTGGACCGTGCCTGTGTGGACAAGTGGCAAGGAGCTTTTCTGTAAAAGGGAGGAGAGAAATGGAGTAGTAACTAAAGGGAGGAAAGTTAAAGGATTAAGAGAGAGGTTTTTGTTTTTTAAAAATACACTTCTTTTTTTCAAATAACTTTATTTTATTTGTTTAATTTGACCAGAGAGGGACAGAGTAAGCAAGACAGAGAGAGAAAGTGAGAAAGCAAGCCGCCAGGTCCAGGACTCAAATCACAGTCAGCCATGTAGGAGTTCAGTGCCCTTAACCACGATGCCACCTTTTTACTTATTTATTTACTTACCTGTTCGTTTGTTGTGATTTTCAAGCTCCTGGGTTCAGGTCTCAAATCATGGTCAGCCATGGGGGAACCCAGCATCCCCAAATACCATATCACCTGCTAGCCTCATGGTTTTTATTTATTTATTTATTTATTTATTTATTTTTGAGAGAGAGGTTTTTGCTATAGGGTGCATGTGCTCACCAGATAGACACAGACAGAGAGACAGAGAGACAGAAATCACCCCCCAGAGGGGATGGCCAAGCCTCAATCTCTTCTCCATTCTTTTCTCAGAATCTTTGGCATGCGCACACATGCACCTGGCGTGAGTTCAAGTCAGTGGGTCTGGGACTCGAGCCGTGGTTGACTACATGGGAGTCCAGCAGCACAGCCATTATGCTAAC